ATTAATCAAAAGAGAGAAAATCATGATCAAAGGAGTACAAAAAATATTAGGAATAGGAAAATATTCCACACACTTACACATCTTGATCAAAGTATATGACTTGCATCTCCTTGGATCTGGTTTTTGACTTAGCAATATATGTGATGTAAGTATGCCTCTCATTCATACCTACCTAAAACTCCACTCAAAGCCTTTTAAGAGATAGGATAAAAAGAAGGCAAAACTATCAAATGCCTTGGTGAGGATCATACACATTGAGTGATTGAGTGAATCATTTGAGCAACTTACATTTTATTTTACAAAACTTATAAAACCTCCGGATAGAAGGTTGATCAAAGAATGAATGATTGGTAATTCTATTAAAACCGTTCTATCTTGCAACTACCTAAGACTTGAAAAGCAATAAGCCCCACAAGGATTAAGTTAAAAGGGTGGATAGAATGCCAACTTACTAAATTAAGGAAGAATACTTTGTTATAGGCATGGCACTTGTGAATTATATTCATCATCGTAGCAACTACTGATCAACAACCAATAACTTAGCTATTTGCTCAGGATGAGCAAAGGTTAAGCTTGGGGGAGCATGTTGGCGGTCTTTACCGATCAAATCCGACCGCCAATTAAGACACAAAAAGAGAATAAATAAGCAATCTTGATCACATATGGATTTACTACTAACCAAGTTCCACATGTATTTGGAGAACATTATTTTGCAGGTCACAAACACAAATACATGGAATAATTCACCAAAAGGCGCTTTTTGACGCTGATTTGCGCAAAGAAACATGGGAGACGCCCATCAACTTAGTGCAAACTGGGCAAAGCACAACTGGGCTTTGATCTAGGTCTAGCCCGGAGCCTAGCATGAAAAGGTGGTGGCGAGGTGGCTCAGTTAGGGGGCGGCCGACCCCTAGGGGCGGGGGACCCCCTACCGGCGCTGCTCAGCCACCCCTTCGATAGGTGGTGGCATGGCTGCATGCTACGGCGGTGGGAGCTGGTCCTCACGCCAGGAATAGCCTCTAGCACCGCCTAGCTCCATGTATAAATAGAGGGGTACCCCTCCCTCTATAATATACACTTCACTTGAGCATTACCTCACACACCTCACTCACTAGTAGTTGTAGTTTTACTTTTTAGTAGCTTTAGAGCAAGGCAAAGCTACCTTGGAGAGCTTGGCTCCTTGGAAGAAGAGACCTTTGGGTATGAATAGAGATATGAGTTCTTTCAAAGTTATGCTCTCATATGATATTTATAGTCATACTTATGAACTAGAGTATAGTTATTATGTTATAATCTTGATATATGAACTAGTCTATAGTTTATGTGTCATGAAAGTAGCACACTTAACTTTATGTTTAAACACTCATATAACTTGTATAACCGGAACTAGAGCAAAGTTAAGGTGGCGGTTCATCGTGCCATTAGGTGTGCCCAAGTTCTTTACCTGTCGATCCGTAGGGTCAGGGACCCAGGGGGATTTGGGTAGTTTTTGTATACGCAAGCGTGGTGCTTGGGCATGGAGAGACAGGTAAATGCATTGTCCCTTTCCATGATTGAGGGGTTGGTGGCAGGTGGTGATAGTCCTGTCCGTCCCTTGTAATCCCTCACGTTTGACTAGGGTGTAGGAGTCTAAATTGTCACATAAGGTTGCTGGCAGACTAGTACTCGGTGGCCTCCCAACCTGCTTCACACTTAGCCCTAAGACTAATTATGTAACTTGTATAATTATTAACTAATCTTTGTATGAATATACTAGACCAATGCCTACTCGACTTAGATTATTCTTTTATCTTTCTTTTCTCTACTGTTCACGGCACCTCACAATTGGACCGTGAGTCCCACCGGTTCGACCACCAGGCCGACTCAGTGATAGGTGGCGCCACGTGTGTAGGCAACCATTACTGGCTCGAGGGTAGCCGTTGGAGTGCCGCACAATCATACCGCCAGGTGGTGCTGTTGGACCACCGGGAGCAGCCGCTGACGTGTGCGTTGAAAAGCTGGTGACGATTGGCGTGTCAGGTAACCATTGCTGACCTCATGGTCGGACTGCCTTGGCCGACGGTTGGACCGCCTTGGCCGACGGTTGGACCGCCAGGGTCTGGGCGAGGGCAGAATGGCCCAACGACCATATTGGTGGGTGGAGGCTATATATACCCCTAAACCAGCCCATTAGTGTGTGCAGGAGTTGGGAAACTATTCTAAGGAGTTGTTGCTCCATTTTAGAGCTCTCCACACAAATGATAATTATTGAAACACTTGGTGATTAGTGTAGCTGCTTTGTGAAATGCTTAAGCTAGTTAGAGCACCGCTAAATGCGTTTGCTCTAGATTTAGACCTAGTGTTTAGTGAGGTTTACATATCTCTTGCTATTAGGTGCTTGCGCGCACCATTGGTGTACTCGAAGGGGCTTGTAATCTTGTGAGACCGCACTAACTGCGTTTGTGGTGTGGCCGCCACCAGTGTACTAGAGGGAACGAGGCTCGTGGCGTTTCGGTCGGAAGCTTGATAGTGAAGATGGCGAGAAGCCATCTCGGAGATCCATTTGCGCTTAGGGACGACCCGAGGCATATCCATGGAGTTACTCAACCAGGAGCTTGACCTTTGCGAGGGCTTTCTTGCGAGGGGCTCCAACAAGGATAAGCATGAGCTTCTCGATACCTCAATAAAAATACTGGAGTCGTCGACAACAGTTTGCATCTCTATCTTATTTAAGCTTCTGCATTTAATTTGTATACCTAGGTTATGTGCTTACTTTTCTTGTTTTGCCTGCTAGGCTAGTTAATAGAATTTGAAGTTAGGTTGCATAAATCTTTGGTGGTAGAGGTAGCAACACATCTAGTAAAACCTTAGTTGTACATATAGATAGACTGTTTTATTGCATATGTTTTGACTAAGCAAAAAATTAGAGGCCTTAGCTTTAATAGTAGTTTTAAGTTGCCTAATTCACCCCTCTCCCTCTTAGACATCACTATCCCTTGAAGTGGTATCAAAGCTAGTTGTCGTTGTAGTAACTAGTATAGTTTAGGGTCTAGAATATATTTTAATAAATACAAAAAATAAAATACAAATACAATGAAGACTATAGTTTCAACTTAACAAGTGAATAAAAATGTTGTAACAGCTAATACGATTAAAAGTTTAAAGTCAAAATATAGATTGATGATATCACAAAAAGGGATGAAATAAGAGCTGATATAATTTAGGCTTAATACATAATGAAGATTTATAGACATACAATCAAAATGATGACAACACATATCTTAATATTACTAAGTGGAGGCCCTCATTTGATTAATGACACACTGATAATTTTATCTATCCTAATATGCGTTCAGAAGAAAAGATAAATCCTATAATGTATGGAACCTCTATATATGTTTGGTGAAATTGGGTAATGACAGTGGTAATGTTATTTTTTATATACACATCTTTTATATATGTGCTTTTCAAGGGCACATAGAGATTGTTACAAAAATCAGAATACAGAGAGGACATGAATGTGCCACGTCAACCTTAATTTGGGTACGGTTGCCATCGGAGCTTTTGTCAAGTATATAGCCATTAGTAACAGGTTATGTGATGGAATACTTTTTTTTTAATCTTACAACTGGTTATTTACTTATTTCAATATATCAGCAAATGTTGATATGGCGTAATAATGAGCTAAGTCTGCATCCTGCATATATATATAGGTTGGAACATTTTCTATGGCTTTGTTTGGTTGATGCACGACAACTAATTTATCAGACTAGCGCCCAGACGTTTGATCCAGGGCACTAGAATTGGACGGTAACCGCTCAGCGAGTGAGTGAGCACCCCAGCGCGTCAGGCTTGCGAGTGAGCGCCCCAGCAGCGGGCCTGCGCCACCTCGGACGTCGCCCGCACTGCCAGCCGCTTCACACGCGCATCCCATATACAACACCCGATCTACTTTCGAAACATACAGATGCAACAGTTGCAACATACAAAAGAAGACAGATAAAACACTTGCAAAAACACCTAAAAAACACTTGAAAATCATTGCAAATATATGCAACATTCAAATGAAACACTTGGAACAGACGTATAAAACACCTAAAACACTTGAAACATATGCTTGCAACATGCATGTATATGCAGCATACAGATCTACTTTTGCAACATCTAGATAAACACACTTGCAGCATACGTCTGATAAAGATGAAATATTTGAAACATACACTTGAAACATACATGCATATAGCCATTGCAATAAGTGCAACATCCCGATCTACTTTTACAATAACGATACAAAACATTTGCAACATACCTCTAAAATATCTGAAACACCTGAAACATATGTTTGCAATATGCGTTTTCAGCGCAACATCTCCTTACTTCTTGGGAATGGAACGCTCGTCAGCGTGTGCAGTTCATTGGTGTAGAGCTCGCTGGTGGCGCGGAGCTCATCGCTCCGGTGGAGAAGCCCGCGACGGATCTGGCGCGAGCTGCCAACACTCCAGTGGAGAAGGCCATCCATGCACTGGAGAAGGCCGCGACGGAGATGGAGGAAGGCGGGTGGCCACGACGGGCCGAGGCATGATGGGGAAGGAGGGTGACCGTGCTCGGGCGCGGTGGAGATGCTGGGCGGTGGGCAGTCAGATGTCATGGAGAACGCCGAGGCGACGCGGTGGAGTGTGGTCACGGCACTGCGAAATGGAAGCATTGAGTGTTTGAAGCCTTCTAGAGAACAGAAGCATCCGGGTGCTGGAGAGGATACGGCTGTTGATCCGTTGGGCTGGTGTCGTGGTCCAAGAGTGTCCGGACGATAGGACGCCCTGCATCTAAAAAAAAAGTTTGGAACCTTATCTAATTTTTTAAATAAACCTTTGCTAATGTGTGGGTCAAATTGTGAAATATTCCTGGCCACGTCCCACGTACAGTACACCTGTCGCAGTCGCAGGTTTGTCATCCGTGCAGCAGCATCCAACACCACACATAAGAAGCCTTCGGTACGCGCGTGACTTCAGAAGAACAAAGCAATGGGGGGACGCTTGCCGCTTTTCTTGCCATGGCTGCTGCTGCTGCTTTCATCACACGCTGTAACGGCGATCAGTTTCACAGTGGATGACTTCCCTGACGGATTTGCCTTTGGAGCTGGGACTGCAGCTTTTCAGGTACCCTAAAGAACATGCTCCAAATTTATCATTCTCGGTATTAGTACCTCTTAGTTTGGATCAAACAGGGTAAAGAGGTTTCAATTCCCCTCATTTTTCTTCCGTATACGTTTGTTGGCAGTATGAGGGTGCAGTGGATGAAGATGGGAAGAGCCCAAGCATTTGGAACACTTATGCACACTCAGGTAGTCAATTGCTTTTTTCAGACCTCACATCACAGTAGGGATTTTATGCACTAGTTCGATTATGGTTTGTTCTGATGGCAAATTGGTAATTGTTAATGCTGCAATGAAGACCTCAGATTTCACATGTTCTTGATGATGTTACTGGTCTTGCTAGATTTCACACTCAACAGTTTCAAGAAGTGTAAACATTACTTCTGAACTTGTGGTTAATTCTCAATTCTGTATTGCACTTGTCCTGAGTATATGCCTGTACTAATGCAATAGCAAGGAATCCAAATGAGCACAGTGGTGATTTTGCTTCTGATGGTTATCACAAGTATAAGGTGTGGCCACTCTTTCAGAGAAAATATTAGCAGGTTGTAAGTTGGAACATCGCTCACATCTTTTCTTGATATTCTCATTCAGGAAGATGTAAAGCTAATGAAAGACATAGGCCTGAAGGCTTACAGGTTCACCATATCTTGGTCAAGACTTATTCCTAGTCAGTGTGCAACTAACCTCATGATTTCAATTTTTCATTTTGCCTAGTTAGAAGTTCTGGATTTTCCATTTTTACTAATTTTAACTTTGGGATCATGTAGATGGGAGAGGAGCAGTGAACCCAAAAGGGCTGCAGTTCTACAACGATATGATAAATGAGCTAGTGAAAGCAGGTGAGTTACACTACACTGCCTTTGTTTTAGAGCTTATGTTTTGTCACTCTCACTGAAACTGAATCATCGTTTTCGAACCCTTGTGCAGGTATTCAGGTACATGCTGCCATTTACCATCTAGACCTCCCCCAAATCCTTGAAGATGAGTACAATGGATGGCTGAGCCCCAGAATTGTGTAAGTTGCTTCTCTTACTTTATGTAAACCAGATAAAAAAAATAGCGTTGAACTATGAAAACCGTTCCACGTGCTTTGTATGGTATGACCATGATGGAACCAAACATATGCAGTGACGACTTCACAGCATATGCAGACGTTTGTTTTCGCGAGTTTGGCGATAGGGTGGCACACTGGACAACTATGATGGAACCAAATATCATTGCTCAAGGTTCCTATGACGTTGGAATTGTGGCCCCTGGACGTTGTTCATACCCATTTGGGCGTGATTGCACAGTTGGCAACTCCACCGTGGAGCCTTACCTGTTTCTACACTACAATCTGCTAGCTCACTCCTCGGTTGTCAGGCTATACCGGGAGAAGTACCAAGTCGGTTTGCCATTTTCATTCCCTTCAGTTCAGAGCCTTGTGTTTCTGCTCAACTTTCTTGACATCACACATGAGCCTTGTTCTTCGCCCTTCAGGCTGTGCAGAAGGGCATTGTAGGCATAAACCTCTACTCCTTGTGCATCTACTCATTGACTGATTCAGCTGAAGATATCCAGGCAACGGAAAGAGCCAACGACTTCTTGTTTGGCAGGTATGTTAACGTCTCTTTATGCAACTTCGTTCTCTTACTGCAAGTACTTGTTACATGTATAGAGCTGGAAAACCCTTTTCATGAACTGTGATAGCACCACCAAGTAATAAGTACTGTACTTCAATCTCAGCATCCTGCACCCTTTCTTATTTGGAGACTACCCGGAGAGCACGAAGAAGGCTGCCGGTGCCCGCCTTCCGTCCTTCTCCAGCTATGAATCCGAGCTTGTTACCGGCGCATTCGACTTCATTGGACTGAATCACTACAGCTCCATATATGCGAGCAACAATCCTGATGTGTCAAAGATGCCCGTGCGAGACCAAGCTGCTGACATTGGAGCTCTGTTCAGAGGTTAAAACTGCTGTAAACTTCTGTATGTATGTGCATCCATACCCGAACCTGAATGTACTTGCTTCTAAAGGCTCCTCATTTGCAGAGACCAGGGACGGGCAAGCTGCTATACAGGTACACTGATGGTTGATCATTGACTACCTAAACTGTTGTAGAATAGTTAGAAATTTGCCATGATTATAGGTGCTTGCTGACATTTTGATGCTCTAATAAGAGCAGTATCCACCAGGCAGTATGGTTGATCCTCAAGGGCTAGAGCATGTACTCAAATATATTCGTGAAAAGTACGGGAATATCTCAATTTATATCCAGGAGAACGGTAATCCCTAAGAAGCATTCACATTCTGATACACTAGTCAGAAACTAACATTGCAAATTAACCTCACATTGCATCCATCATTCAGGAAGGCCTGATGACAGCCTGATGGATGTAGAAAGGATTGACTTCCTGAAGGCGTACATTGCAAGCACATTGAAAGCCATAAGGTAACAGTATATTGTTGTCTTTTTTTTTCGCACTAACAGGATGGCCCAACTTCTGCACAAGTCTAAGGGAGTCAGGCTTGCATCAGATACATGCATTATTTTTCTTTTCATATGCAGAGCGTTCTTTGGATGTTTTGGCACATGAACGAACTTCTAAATACATGGTTCATTCCAGGGATGGAGCAGACGTCAAAGGATACTCTGTGTGGTCATTACTGGATCTCTACGAGATGTTCGGGGGCTACAAGGCGCATTTCGGCCTCATCAGCGTCGATTTCAAGGACCTGAGGCGTCAGAGGCAGCCCAGGCTGTCTGCGTACTGGTACTCAGACTTCTTGAAGAATAATGTTGCCATTCAGGTGGAGAATGGTGAAGCAACTGCAACTTCTCATGAACAAATTTAAGAGCCCTCCATCCAAAGAGTGGCATTTTATACTCTGAGAGCTACACTCTGAACAGAAATAATTGAAAAAGGGTAAAATTTATGAAATATTTCAACTTGGTGTTTGGTACATGAAGCTTGAGGTCGTGTGGTTTGTAAAGTATTTACTAAAATAGAAACTAAAGAAAGAAGTCAGAGAACCGTCCTTGAGTACACTCTGCAATCAGAAAATGTATTAGTTAGAGAATCATCCATCGTCATAAAAAGAGGGAGATTGAATGTATCTAGCCCCAGTATTAGAATCTCTTTAGAGGAAAAGTCGGTTTTACCTGCTTGAACTACCGTCGGTCTGAATTTCCTCCTCAAACTTCAAAACCAGATATCACCAGGAATGTCCTGACTGCCACCGTTTCTGCTTTTACCCTACCGTTTCTTGTTTTCTCCGTATTTATCCAGAAGCTGGTCGAAAACAGGAAGAATCCTTGAACTTCAAAACTAGATACCACCAGGGATGTCCCAACCGTCACCGTTTCTGCTTTTACCCGACTGTTTCCTGTTTTCTTGGTATTTATTCGGAAGCCAATGATTTGAAGAGTTTCCTAATTGAACCCGATCATCGCCGTTTCCGCTTTTACCTGACCTTCACCATTTCCACTTTTTCCCAACCTTTTCCTGTTTTCTCGGTATTTATCCAGAATCTGGTCGAGCTTTTACCCCATCGGGTCAGGATTTTACCTAATCAGGTCGGGCTTTTACCCAACCATTTCCTGTTTTCTCGATATATATCCGGAATATATCCGGAAGCCGGTCGGAAACATGAAGTTTATCTGGAAAACCGTCACCATGTCTGTTTCCCATTTTCTCGTCCGCTTTTACCCACTGTTTCCCATTTTCTCTATACCCAGCCATCACTGTCCGTTTCCTGTTTTACCCAACCATTTCTTGTTTTCTCGGTATTTATCCTGAAGCCGGTCGGAAACATGAACAATTGTTCGACCTATTATCCTACAGGAGAGTAGCAGCATTTTCTCTTTTAGTTTCTAGTTGTTTTCTCTATAAAAAAAGTTTGCTAAATATATTTATTATTAAGCATCTAAAATTATTTGCTAATACAAGATCTAAAAACTAAATATTAATTATCATACACATGGCTTTATCAAACTAAATATTAATTATCATCTATTTTGTGGTAGAACCGTCCAAGTTATATGGCCCACATGTTCCTGTCATTGTCTTCCAGACTTCTGACTGCTGCACATGGGAGCTAGATAACTCCGGTAGTGTGTCGGGTGTCCTCAGGAACCCCCGAATCATCCATGTTTATCTTTCCGAGCAGGATACATTACAAAAAGCATTGTAGCATTACACAGTTGTACAAATATATAAATATATTATATCAGAGTAAATAGCGAAAGTCTTACGAACCATAAATTTAGAAACCATTTATTTAGTGATTACAAACCATAAGTTTTTATCCATAAGGCAGTGGAGTAGCATCACGGGTACCACTTATATTACAATACACAAAAGAGGTTGACCCTGCCCAAGGGTGCACGACAACTTCTACTGCTGACTCTCTTCTTCTAGCACCGTCACACAGCAGGGGCAAAAGCCTGGCTGCTGATGAGGCTCACCTACAACAAGTGTTTAACAAACCCTGAGTACAAAGGTACTCAACAAGACTTAACCGACAAAAAGGAAAGACTCTAAGGATATGCAGGCTTACGGAGAATCAAGGTAAGTCTGTAGCAAAAATCAAGATTAACTTTTGCAGAAAAGCTTACTAATAAATTGTTCCTTACTTTCAATGTTTTAACTCAGGTAAAATCATTATAAGTATTCAGTTTGCACCTGATCTAAATCGTTCACTTCTTTATCAATTAATCTCATGATCAAAATACTAATGTTTCAGTTATTAACTACGATGTAAGTCAGAGGATCGGGTCTCCTTCTTCGAGACGCAACGGCGATTCAAATCGATTAAGCCCAGGTAGGGTTTCCTTACCACACGACATATGCAGGTCCTGAACCTACACATATCAACCTTCACTCGGGTATCCTGAAACATGAATGGGTTCGTGCTACCCGAGAGTACAGTACTCCACCTCCCTGCACCGCTCCTAGTGGATTCACATGATGTGTATACGCTACTCTCACCATCTCTCCACTCCCAATGCGTTGTTGGCCTTTCACATAATGGAATAGCCGAGGTATCAGGCTTACCGGAGTATGTGGCTAGTACTACAAAGTCCTGACCACACTGTGGCCTACAACGGTACGGTCTTCAATTGACACAGACAGGGCAAGCACGACCAGGCAACCCTGTTGGCTTATCCATCAGAGACATAACCCATGTCCCATCCGGTCTCTAGTTAAAGCATATTTATTATTAAACTCTCAAGACATTACCTGAGTACGAAACCATCGTGAATGATGAAATCACTACTCGACTCTTATCAACTAAGCAAGGCTAAGCATATCTAACCTATCATATAAAAAGGGTAACAAGAAATGGTATTAGAATATCAAGGCAGGCATGCAGCAGTTGGTAATCACCCAATTTCTATTGTATTTAATGCACAAAGCATAAGACTTATGTGAATGATATTCGCAAAACACAAGGAAATGGTTGTATGCTCTGGGGCTTGCCTGTGGTGTTGGGGTTGTCAGATTCCTCGGATGTTCCACAGATATCAAACCCAACTTACTCTAAGTGAAAACCCGTCTTAGGAGCCTGCTCGACTAGGGGGTCACCACTTTCGTTCACTAAACATAAGTAAAGATGCATGCTTTAGGATGATTAGATACTAAGCATGGTTTAAGATGACTAAACAAGATTACTTAGCTTGAGTACAACTTTCCTTCACGGTATATTTAGGTTAACTAATCACAAGCATCTTTGTTATTTATTATAAACAAGTTAATCATGAGCACAACATGAAGAGGACTAAGTTGCCAAGGAACAACAAAGGGATTAATGTTCTAAAGTCCATAATCAAACCCATCACATCAAAGTTCTTTAAGGATTTATAGAAATCATCTTGGTATTTTTATTAATTAAATAAAGGTATTTAAACATACCAAAATTAAGTAGATAATTTAATTTCATCAAAACAGAGCCAAACTTTTTGTGAAGACTAGTCTAAGCATTTGAAGCATACTAAAAAAGTTTCATGATTTTAGGATAGTTATTTTAGCCTATAAAAATCATGGAAGACATATTTATTAATTAAAAGATGTAATTTTAAGACCTAGCAAAAGTACTGATTTTGGCAAACTCATATTTTTTTCATGATTAAGCATAAGATAACAAGCTTACACAAAAAGTTTCATAATTTTATCAGTTCTAATTATTTAGTTATGAATTACATATGATTCAGCCTATTTCAACATTTTCTGAAAAACGAAAAAGATAAAATCCTTTTCTTACTCACTCTCTCTCACCCACGTCGCACCCGCACTGACCGTGACGCTGGCAGCCGTTGACTGGCGGGTGCTCGCCGGCGGCAAGACCTACCCCGGTGGACTCTTCTCGCTCTCGCGCATACTTTGGTGGTATTGGTTGAACGTCTGGTGCCCGGCGGCGAGCACGACGGTGGCTCTAGCAGGACGGCGGCGCTCCGGCATGGCGGCAACGGGCGACGACGATGATCTAGGTGATGCAAACTATCCCTATGTGATCCTCTCGACCTCACGAACTCGCTAATGGTGATGGTTGATCGGCTAGGGCACGGCAGCATGCACCCCGGCAGCCATGGCGGCACGGCGGAGCTCTAGCATAGTGGACCAGATCAACGGTGGCTTTCAAGCAACGCAAAGACCACTGGCATGCTCTGTAGGGTTGAGATGGTCGACTAGAGAGGGGTGAATAGTCCTTTCTAAAATTAAACGCGTCGACTAACTGAAACAAATGCGGAATCAAAACTATCGGTCTAGCCAAGACTACACCCCTCTATCTAAGTTCACAAGCACCTTATAAAGATCCTAATTAAGCAACAAAGGTGTCAGGCTAGTTAGAGATCACCTAACCAATCTAGCTTTCAAGGTCACACAAACCTATGTAACTAGTACTTCACACAACCGAGGGAGCTCCTACACAATCTAGTAAGCAAAAGCACAAAGCCACCTAAGCTCACTAGCAATGCTCAATAACAAGGCTACAGAAGCCAAAATATAGAGATCAAAGCACTTAGCTACACAAACTAAGCAATGTAACTAACAAGGTTACTCAAACCAAATTAGTCACACAAGAGAGCTACTTCCATGCTACACAAGTAAGAAGGTAACTAGCAAGCTACACAAGCTAACTAATTACAAGAGCAACTACACAAGCACAATGTATATGAAAGTAATTACAAGCTTGTGTAAGGAGATTGTAAACTAACGGGAAGACAAGGATGACACGATGATTTTTATCCTGAGGTTCACGTGCTTGCCAACACGCTAGTCCCCGTTGTGTCGATCGTTCACTTGGTGGTTTGGCAGCTAATTGGCACCACACCAAGCCCTCACGTTGGGCGCCGCAAGAACCCCACGATCTAAGTGAGGGTAGCTCAATGACACACTCTACTATAGTTTCTCTTCATGGCTCCCGTGGTGTGAGCACAATCCCCCTCACAATCACTTCTCCGGAGCACTGCACAATCTTCCTTGCATGCTTCGACGAAGACCACAACCAAGCTGTCTAGGAGGTAGCAACCTCCAAGAGTAATAAGCACCACTGGCTTACAACTCAATGACCTAGTGCCACTCGATGCAACCTTACAATGCAATCGCACTAGAATCGCACTCACACTTAATCGGATGATGACCATCAAGCGTATGTGAGTTAGAGGGCTCCCAAGCACACCTACACAAGCCACCAAGGCTTAAGGGTGCTCAGCAACCAGCCCAAGGCTGAGCTCCACCTCTATTTATAGCCCCCAAGCTAAATAGAGCTGTTGCTCCAAAGATTCCCTTTTCTGTGAGGGCACCGGACAGGGCGGTGCCTGGCACCGGACACGGCAATGCCTCTCCAACGGT